TGGAAATAGTGCTTCACTTTTAGGTAGTGTTTAATCAATTCAGATTTATCGAATTTATTTAATGCACTTAGTTTCACTGACATCTTTTCATTCGTCATCCAGTTATTCCCTCTCAGGAAGTCGTCTACAATTTTAAAACCAATGGACGCCCAGCGGTCAATGAACAAGGGTGGTCTCATTTGCATTAGAAGCTTGAATTCTGTCATTGGAATGTCTTTAATATCATGTAACCCACGTGGAAAATTCATGATTCCAACTTCTAACTTATTCATTACTTCCAAAATTTGTTGATTTAGAAACCATTTCTACAGTAGTGTGGCAGATGATTCGCGAGGAAGCTATGACTGAAACAATTGATGCAATGTAAATTTACCTATGGCCCATTTTAAATAACTCAACGTCTTTACATTGTCGTATGGCCCATCTTTAAAAAAACACCCCGTATATATCTTTAATTATTCAAACTTACAGTTTAAAGTCAAATTAGAGCGAGAAACAACTGGATTCGATTACATTATGCACAGTTCCATACTCATTCGAATCACTTTATGAGTAACCAGAGTAGCGCTGCAGATGAACTCATCGACTTGTATGAGGATATGTTGAAGATTGTACTTACAAATTTAAAAGTTCATCTGGCGATGCAAATATCGGCTCCACTGGTATCTCTCTACTCTGAATTTTTTGTATTATGGCAAGTATGTCCATGAATGAGCAGTATTTCCCAAAAGACCAAAGCTATGTGCGCTGTTATTTTCTTTACTAGAGGCATATATGGTTAAAATTTCAAAGAAATATCTCCATAAACAAAAAGGTTGGCGTTGCGCAGTTCGCGCATGAGCACATTTACTTTATGCTATAGGTATGCGATGTTTGTTTTTCCTAAGACATTATTATAGTTTTCGATTTTTACTACATGTGATATGTTTTTCTTTACTAGAAACATTTATGGTTAAAATTTCATAGAAATATCTCCATAAATAAGAAAGTTTCCATTGCGCAGTCTGCGCATGCGCACATCTGATTTGTACTATATGCGATAGTTTGCCTTCACCAGAAATATCTGTGGTTAAAATTTCAACAAAACATATTTAATAAATAAGAAAGTTGACATTGCGCAGTTTAGTTGTCAAGATTTTCTTTGGCTCAGGTTGTAGAGCTATACGCTACCAAATGCAAAAAGAACGAACATAATATCTTGAAAAATTGTAGGAATGGTTAAGGCCTCGGACAGACGGGCAGACGGACAAATAGACGGACAGAGAAAGTCGCAAGTCTGGCACAGTTTTTGCTAAATCAATGCAGTATGTTTGGTCATATTGTCACGTCTAGGGGGTAGCTCTATGCATACGAGAGGTGACGTGACTATAATTGGGGATCGTAGTTACAGATAGAGAATTGCATTGTTTAAAGGTTTATTGTTTAACTGTAAGCTGAAGCAAATATTACAAAATCTTACCTTTGCATTCTGGTAGGAAGATTATAACTATTGTATGGCACTGTGTACTACCGACTGTCCTCTTTGCAATCCTCATCTGCTATTTAACTCTTCATACTCTTGGCGTCATATCCTCCTGACAACACCCTATGGTGAGCAAAGCACTAACACGTGCAGAACCTTGATCATCCACAGAATCCTGTCAGTGGTTAGAAATTCTCATTACACAATTACGTGATTGCATAGTACAAGGCTATTTTACCAATATCGGGAGGAAGAGACTACTTAGATTTTGAGTTTAGCTCTATGAGTAATTTGTTCTCGATTTATGATTATGTAGTCATTAAAAATTGGATAAATTCATTCATTGATTTTCTACTGTGTGACATTTGCCTCCCTCATAAAATTTCCTTGACCTCAAGGAATCAAGCAAAAGATATCTCCAAACAAACGCAAGAGTAATCCGAGTTGTACCGATGCAGGATGTCAGGCAGTGAACAGTGCGTTCATCTCTATATCTAACTTAGCCTAAGTACAATAATAAAAATAATGTAGGTATCTAAAAGCTAAGTGGTCCTTACATTGCGTAAACTAAATCTAGAATAGACAAAAAATAATAGTTTAAAAAATATCACAGTTAGGTACATAAAATTAAAAGTATTAATGTCTTAAAATTTTTTTTTGTTTCGGAAACCACACGACCGCAAAGTTCGTTAGTTCTTAGATAATACTAAACACTGTCGAATTCTTTTAGTTTCTAAGTGAAGTTTTATGAGAACACACGAAAATATTAATTCACGAGTGACTTGTAGCATTGTTTTACATGTAACGTATAAATCAGTTTTTTTTTAAGTTCACTACACTACACTGGTGTTTTTTGGGTGACATATTGCTGCCATTCTGTCCATTGTCACATAAGATGAGTCTTCTTGGGTTTTGGAACTGCTAACTTCCGGTTTAGGGTGTGGTCCGTAGTCATTCCTTTCGAGTATGGGTGGACTTGGTAACGGTTTATTCTTATTAGGTGGTAATGGTCGTTGTAGCTGTCGTGGTTGTAAATAAGCACCATCGGTTTCCTCATAATGATGTTCCTCCGTACCACTGGAGACCATGGAAATTTCTTGTTATCCATTGGTTGGTTGTCATTACTGACAACGGCAACTCTTGCCAACTATAAGGTGGTTTTATCAACCATTGTATGGTGTGGTCATTGGTAAGATCAAGCACGGCTACTTCTTTAGCCACAAATTCATTATTGTGGCCTCTTAGGCCTTGGATGTCGCAAATATAGTGTGGTCTGAAAAGGTAGTTGTCATTAGTATCATCCTTACTTGTCTAAAATTGAAGTAGTGCTAATTATATGGGTGTGTGGATCACCTAAATATAGATATGTCACCTAAAGAACACCTTTAATAAAAAATAGAGTGCCGTCTAGACGCGCAAAAAGTAGTGTTAACACTTTATATGTTGATTTTATCTCTGGTAAGTCATTAAACATTCTCTTTTCTTATCTGTTCTTCTTATAGGATTCTTTTTCGTCTACTTTCTTCTCGGAGTTGTTATAGGTGACGTGGGGTTCATCCACGCTCGGTGCCAATGAGTTGATATATGATACAATCGTCTATCCAAACCATGAGCCATACCGTCTCTAGATTACTCGCCGGAAAAGAAGTAACAGTAGTAGGAGTTCAAAAGAAGGAATTCTTGGAGCGGATAGTTCCAGCGGCAGTGGTACACAACATGACCGTCGCTTTGCCACAGAGAGGGCACCCAATGGGAGAGGCCTGTGTGTGGCATCCACGCCACGAATATATTTGCGCTTCAGAAAGATGTAAAACTATCAAAAATATACTGGAAACCGGACCAGTAGTACGTTACTACAGCCCAGCGGGGCTGGAGTCCGATAGCCAGGACTCCTCCTCGGAGGAAGAAGCAGATTCGGGAATTGAAGGGTAAAATAAAATAAAATAAATAAATGCAAATAATGTAAATAAAAGTTATACTTGTAAGACACTATAAATAGTTACTAGAAGGTACACCTGTCTATATCTGACTGTCTCTTTTCCTTTTCGCATGACACAATCTCTCAGGACGACAGCTCACAACTCATTTTACTTCTAGAGTAATTTTCATTACGGTACTTCCTTTTGTTCTGAGAGTACCGGTACAAATTACAACTGGAGGTCAGTGGAGAAAATTACCTGACGTGGTAGTCTACAGCGCTACCGTCCCAGTCACCTATAAGATGAGATGGCAAACGGCAGAACCTCCAACCACTAAACCAGTACCATTTGCAACAAATTGTAATGCAATAGAATGTATTTTGGACCAAGACATTACCGAACTTAACAGACTAATCCAACAAGGACTGCGACAACTGACTACCGCTCTTAGACCCGAATTATGGAAAGAAATAGAAACTACAGAAGAAATTCCTGATACAAGAAGAAAAAGAGCCCTTGACTTCATAGGAGACTTCTTTTCTTTTTGTTGCGACATCGCAACCGAGAGGAAAGTCGATAGCCTCAAAGCAAAATCTTCAGAAATCCACGAATTCCTAAGGCGAATGGACTTAGGAATGCAGAAGAACTTAAGGTTAGTCACTAATAATTCTGAAAGATTTAATACTTATCACAAAGAACTTACTAACAATTTGATGGAAGTACGGAAAAAGATCTCACGGTTAAATGAATTCAGCGCCAACTTAAGTAATGAAATAAACAGAGACCACGCGAAAGTTGAGGGTCAGTTACAATTACAACGCCATCACTCTTCTAAAATTGCATTAAATATTTTTCATTTGAGTCACATAGTTAATGATTTAGATATCATCACTTCATGTAAAGAACATAGAATTCCAGCAACCGTAGTACATCCAGATGTCTTGTCTACGGATCTTTTAAATTTACAGCAAGAACTAAATAAAGATAATCACACTTTAGCCTTAAGCTTAAACGATATCTCGCGTTATTATAAACTAAAAATATGTGATTGTACGGTAACTGATGATCATCTAATTGTCCATATAAAACTTCCAATAATTTCACAAAATCGACGATGGCAAATATATGAACTCATCACAACTCCATTCGCATGGAAGAATCATACATGTTTATTGATGCATGAAACACTTTATTTAGCAGTATCCAATAGAGGTACGAAGAAAACACTCAAAACGATATCAGGTATCGGATTACATCATTGCAAACCTTATACAGATAAATTGTGTTATTTACCACGTTATAATACTGATACCATGTATGGCCCAAAATGTGCATATAAAATGTTTTTAGGATCGACAGTACAAGAATTAGAGGAACATTGTTCTTTTAGATGTCACTCATCTAAGAGTATGATAATCTCCGAAATAAAAGATGATACCTTCATTATTACACACCCAATGCCTCACACAATAATAACATGCCCTACCGCAGACACCTCTGCCAAATAATTCTTATGATCAACCGGGCGCTTTACAAATTTCACTGCCATGTCAGTGTTCCTTCACGTCACCTCTCGTATGCATAGAGCTACCCCCTAGACGTGACAATATCTCAAAATAGTAATTTTCTTCCGTTTATTAAATAAATGCTTCACAATTCATGTACATATGAGTACGGTTTTGTAGTAGCACAAAGTAGTTATACAAATATTTTCATACGGATGGACAGCACCATGGCGCTTGGGTTCCGTTAATGTGTTGGCAATATCCACTGAAAGGAGACATAATATGAGTTAAACTGCATGTGTTGTGTTAGTATACTAGTATAAACGTATAACAATACCAAAATGCTCATACAAAATGGTAAATCTTATATGTCAACACAACTGTTAGATCGGCTTACCATGGATCAGTGGTATCGGTACACTGTGGCTTATCCCAACCGCAAAAACACAATTTTGGATCACAATTCTGTCCTAATACCAACACAACAATCATCATAAAAAGGGCAAACCTAATCAGTATCGACATTGTTTTAGTTTAACTGTGCTACAGCGCACGAGATTTATAGGGAACTGGAGAGGTGAAACCTTATCATTTTGATTATAGCTTATTTTAGTATGATATGGGAGATAATACCCAAAAATAGATATATTAATACCTATCAAGTCACCACTCGTGGTAGAGTTTGACCTTGTACCAAAAACTGAGTTCACGTATGGAAAATTCAAGAGTCTTCCATAGCTCGTTTGTCAACATCCATCTTTCATGACACTGATATTACCGAAAGCCCAAACTCTAGTCTAATAAATTGTACTTCGACAATTCAACATCTTAATTTGATATAATAGATGATGTAATAGAGCTCGTGTATGAGCCTTCGTCGGCACCACCCAACTGTATATAAATAATTCAGGATAACTGCAGGAAAACAGTCTGTTAGATGAATTATTATATTTTGAAAGTTCATTATGAAGTTTTATCAGCACATCTCAGATTTGGATACGACAGTTCAAAAACAATACTCCATACCGTTCCCCAATAAAAAACAAAACGCTTCATTATCAGGTTGATATTGCTCGATTTTGGTATGTTTGAACAATATTGCCTATTATGTGTAGTACTTCTAATGAAGGTGCTTAAACGTGGCATACTGGTAGCTAAGGACATCTACTGTTGCACCTGCAGCTTTGCTCCCAAATGATTGCATAGGTTTCGTATAAGAGACGTCGCAATCGCTATTTAGACACCTGGATTGCGGAATTTGAGAGGAGAGTGACCGGATGCATTGTAACAGTTTAGTTTATTCATATTCAAATTTCAAAATTACCGCTTGCTAGGTTAGGCAGGATATAGGTGAGATGGCGTCACTTGTACGCGTGCTTCTTTCCTCGCGCAGAATCGCGTTAATTTTTCACTTCATTTCCGTTTTAAAACCAACGAGGTTGTACTTGTTGTAGAGCGTGGCATTGTGAATTCTTCTTAAACCAGTGGGTAATATTTGCCATCATTCACGTAAAATCTCTGGCAATTTTACCTTTTTATTGGCGTTGTCGAGTAGAGTAACTCAGAAGCCGTTTTCTCCATTGCGAGGCTATATATCTGGTGGAAGTTCATCGCCCTACCTACATGTAAGTGAAATGGCGTTGGTTTTCTTTTACGTTATGTTATCTAAAATTCTTTCAGACTCACAATTTGAGGTTGGATAATTTCCCTATTTCATTGATTTAAGTATTTCTCATTACCCTCCTGACGATTTCAGGTATGTTATTAAAAATCTCGTTAAGGGAGTGTTACATCTTCATTACTTTTAGGGGGTCCATGTAGTAGATGAATTCTTGTACCGGTCAATCCATGTGGTAGGTCAATCCTTGTACAGACGAATCCTTGTATGTAAATGAATTTGCATCTTGCGAATATTCCGGAGTACGAACACCTGTTGATTGCCGGCAGCTATCCGGCGTACCACCGAGTAGATAAGCGCTAACATCTAAACGATACCGGGAGCGACCAGCTGATTGTGGAATTTTCGGAAGATACGATCTTTTACACAACCTTTTTTTTATTTGCTTCAATACCGTTAATCTAGTGTAACCTTCCGACGATTTATGATTGGAGCTTTGTATTTTGTTCACGTCTAGTGTTTGAGGTCGTGGCTCTCTTCAAGAGCAACCAACGCACCTGTATTTAACGTATGGGTAAACGAGCCGGCTACGAGTAAGCTATTTTTTTTGGCCCTTCCGGCTCATATAATCGTTCCGAGCGTTGTAGCTTGGGGTTTGTTTTTTGTGTTACAGAACTGGAACTTCGAAGGAGAGCTCTTTTTCGGAGAAGACAGCGTATGTGTTATTCAAGGTAAGATTTTTAATTTACTTGTACCCAGTGTTGCCTATATGAGTTGTTATTCGGGTTAACTTAATTCAATCTTTGAATCCATTTAAATCTTAACTACATTTTTGCTCGATCATTGTTGTAGGGGGCTGGTAACGTAATTATTAAGGAAGTGTTCATGAATTTATTTGGGGATTATTTTTGTCATTTAAAGTATTTGTTATTGTCGTATTGAAGATACATTTTATTTGCGATCCTGCACCGTTTTGCCAGGATTAATAAATCAGAATTGCTCGTAGTGAATTTATTATTTGGCTCTCTTGTGTTTTCCCAATTTCTATACAGGAGAGGTCAGAATTTGTGCAAAATTGGGTGGCGCTCAACTAATCATTTCTAGTGACTACCAAAGATCAAAAGCTTATGTTATATGCCCAAACGAACAAACCGCTGTGGAAGATTCTCATCTCGAGCCCTTCTTTTAATTAAGAATCTGAGCTAGCTGGCCGTTTATGCGGCGGGGTTTGAGTTTTACAGCGCCGAACTAACCTCACGTTATAGCATACTCGCACGGAGTCCTCTTATTTGCGCCCCTGGTATACCCCCGGCGCCCCTGTGTAATAAAAGTCATCCGTCTTAGACAACTCCACTCAAGCCCACCACTTGAGACATACACCATACTAGCGGTGGAGGCGGATCTAACGTTTGACATCACTGACTACTGTCAATCACACGTATCTCCTAACTTTTAATCGAATATAAATGCAACAAATCGAATCGGAATTGTTTCAAAAACTGTTGAGGTTACGGAATACGATTTCGAAACAATTCCGATTCGACTAAACATTCCAATTCGATTCGTTGCATTTCTTGTTGCATTTACTATTAAATCGCAAGGCGTCTACCTATAGTATGCGCGGCCATTCGCCAATATTACAGGTTGTTTGCTACGATTATCTTTTTATTGATGAGTAAGTATCTGACTCCAGCCTCGGGATTGCGAAATTCTTCTTAAGAGACCTAGTGACCTAGTCTCAATGGAGCACTTTGGTATTCTATTCCAAGCAGTTGCCCTTGTGACAGCTTTTCTGTTGCAGTCGGCGGAGCGGGTACTGCCTCAAAAGGTTTACCAGTACTGACTTGAAAAGTGGAGAACTTGTATCTCACCTTGAGGTTGACTTTTCTCAACTGTGTGAAAGACACACCAGTTGCTTACATTAGTTCTGAACTTCTAGACGTTTTACCGAAAGCCAGATCCTTGAGTTTCCCAGGGATCCGACGGTGGCCTTGCACAGCCTAGGAAACCGATCCTCCTGAACACCGTCGGTCGGTGTGTGCAGATTATCGTAATGGTGGGAAGTTTCAACCATCTTCTTCGGCCTCAACAGAGAACGGTGATTGCGGATCTTTAAAATATGTTAGCTATGCTATTCACGTCACAGGCATCTGAAATGAAGTTTTGTGTATTCAATTCAACCCCTAGTTTTTATATCCCAGGCCTGTTCTAAGACCATTAAAAAAATTCAATGTACCTATATTGTTGTGTATGATTGGACGCGGTCAAAATACCACCCAACAGGCACCTACCTAGTTAACTCGAATTGCAATCATTTCTTTCTCACTTTATAAAATTCCTCTCAGGGCATGACTGAGTTCTGACACAAATAAAAATCTTAACAATCATCTTAACACTTTTATAAGTTTGAAAATTACAAAAGCCTTAATTAAAATACCAATTCCAATGAAATCAACACTCAAATGTTGAATTGAAATTAATAGTCAGATTAAAAGGAATTTTATAAAATCAAACAGAGAAAATTAAACTTTACCTGGATTTCAAATCGGAATTCAAATGGACATACAATTGCTTAATAACAAGATATTACAGGAAGGTGAAACTAGGCCCCCATCATAATTTTTCAACAACAAAATTTGCGGCAGAAGCCCTAAACTTCCCACAATTTTAATTAAAGGGCACTTTATCTCGTCGAAATCTGGGGTTGTGTTACTTATATCGCGATGAATTTTCCGGTAAGTCCGCGCAGGGCGGTTGCTGGTATTTCAAACGGTAATTAGTAAAAATGAAATTTAATCAATGGATAAAAAATATATGTCAAAATTTAAATGATTTGAAAATCGGTAATGACAAGGACAATCCGAGGGATCCTGATCTAAAGTAACTGTTACTCCCCAAGCTAGCATCATTCATAATATTTCGGTAATTAGCGAAGAGGTCAACGATAAATGGTACTCAAATTTATTTACTTCTATCCTAAATAAACCTGAAAAATTTCCCAAATGGAGAATCCATGGTAATGAAATATACAAACATGTTCCATGCAAATATCCAACTCTTTCCGAACCCGACATCGATTCTTGGAAGAAGGTAATTCCGAAACCGCAACGGTTAAATTTAATTTCTTTATCCCACGACACGACAACAGCAGGACACCTCGGCATCTACAAAACTTACCACAGATTAAAAAACCAGTATTACTGGCCAAAAATGCATGCCGATGTAGTCAAATATATTACCAAATGTAAAATATGCGCAAAGCTGACAACAAAGCTCTAGCAGGTTTTATGGTAGGTAGATCTCACGTAAAACGTCCCTGGGAGATAATCTCGGCGGACCTAGTTGGACCACTTCCCAGATCTACACAAGGGCACACACACATATTGGTTGTGGTAGATTATTTTTCTAAATTTCCCCTGTTTTTCCCATTGAGGAAAGCTACTGCTGTGCCTATCGTAAAACAATTTGAAGAACAAGTTTTCCTTCTATTCGGCGTTCCCACATCCATCATTGTAGACAATGGTATTCAATTTAAATCTAAACAATTCACCAAATTAATGTTATCTTATAACGTCAACATAAGGTATACACCATATTATCATGCGCAAGCTAACCCAACAGAACGCGTTAACAAGGTTCTGAAAACTGTGTTGTCATCGTATGTCGAAGACAATCAAAAAACTTGGAGTAGCTTATTGCCAAAAGTAGCTTGTGCCATCAGGTCCTCTAGACATGAAGTGCTTAATAATTCCCCTTATTTCGTGAATTTTGGAAGGGAAATGGTGTTAGATGGTAACGCAAACAATTTTAAGGACGAGTCCAATGACATCGTCGTAGACAGAAATTCAGTTAGTATTAGATCAGAAGGATTTGAAACTCTTTGTAAAGACATAAAACATAACCTTAGGAGAAGGGATGTACAGTATATAGTAGGGCAATCTGTTTATCGTAAAAACTTTGTTATTTCCGATGCAGCTAAATTCTATACAGCAAAATTAGGGCCGAAATATGTAGGACC